ATACATATATATATATATATATGTGCATACATATGTATAAATCTAGTCTTTGCTCCCAGAGTCCCTACAGGTGTTTTCCCCAGATGATGAAGGGCTGGATCCTGCTCAGACTGCCAAAGAAGATATTGTGGTGAGTAAAATGATGACTGATTCCCTTCCATGTGTTTTCAAGAAAAAAGTAGTTCTGATTTTAATGCTGGAATCAGTTATTCAGCTATTAATAACATTTTCTTCCTCTATAATAACCTTAGTGAATAATGCAGTGAAAAATGAGCAAAAATACCTGGATTTGACCCTCTACCTTTGTTTTCCCTGCTATAAAAGGTAGCTGGTTACAGTGCCAGAACTCAGAGGCACATTAGGGGGATAAGAGCATGATCTGCATGGAGCTGTTCAGCTATTTCAGGTGTTGAGACAATGTATGAAGCCAAGAGACTTGTACCTACACAGAGAGTTATTCTGGTTGAGCAATAAGTTCCTACAGCATTGAGAAGAAGTCAACGGACCTGGTATTCTTATGGATCAGTGGGAAAAGTAATTTCTGGGAATTGAATGCTTCCTCCCAACAGCCTTTTTCCTTGAACCACTGTGTGATCAAGTCTGGGTTCGCATGGGTATTGCTTTTGAAATGTTGCATTGCTTGCAGAGAAAACACTCACATTGCTGCCCTCCTACTTAAGGATGAACTCAAACGCTTTCTATTTTAAATTCAAAACCTAATCAAAATTCAGGCTCCTTGGCTAGTTTTAGATGTAACTTCAGGAAAAAAGAAAATCAGCCCTTTAAATAATAAAATGCTCATGTTGAAAATCAGTTTTCTTTACTTCCACATCCATTTTGAACTGAGATTACTGTGTTTGAAGGGTAAGACCAAATAGGAATTCTAAAGTCACAATCGGTATTTGAAAGGCAGCTCTGTGCTCTTCTTTGAGTGCTACTGATGCTTTCAGCTGGGGCATGAAAGACCTAGAACTCTGATCTCTGGTTTTGGCAAGTCAAGTCATTCAATTCAATTTCAGAACCATGCAGCTGTGAAGCTTTACAGTTTTTGATGTTTAAAAAGGTTGGGATTATTTCTGTTCTCTGTGATTTGTGAGCAACTGCTGCTTCTGTTAGCAAACCCAGGAAGAAACTTGTCTGTCTGATGTGCATGGACCATAAACTGATACCTGCCCTAACACCTGAGTAGATATTACACACCTGGCTGGCATCTCTGAGATCAAAGTGCTCTCTGATGCTCTGCTGCCCTTTGAACAGCATTTAATTGGCCATGAGACCACATTTCAGGACCTGGGACTGAGCTTTGCTGCCTTGGGTCACTGGATGAATCCAGTTTAGGTCTGTAGGAAGCTGGTCGGTGTTCTCGGCCTCCTTTCTAGTGGAGAGAGGGCTGCATGCTCTGGTTCTCTTACCTGCCAAGTCATGGTGAAGATGCTGAGTCTGCAGACCCTGCTCTTTCTTATGGGGGTTTCTGCAGATTGGATGAAGCACATCAGCACAGGCTGTTAAGTGGGGATACCCTGGGTGTCCTCTGCAGAGATTTCAGGCAGGTTTGGCCAGCCTTTCTGAGCTTGCAAGGCTTGTGCCAAACTCCCCCCAAAAAACCATTCTCCGAGGAGTAAATAGCTTACAAGGGATGGATGTTAACCTGGGAATGAAACTGGGACTCAGCTGACTGGGACTCAGCTCAGCTGGGACTCAGTGAATTGTCAAAGCTGGCCAATGGCATCAGCTTTTCACCCACCTCCTCCTGCAATGGCAGGGGGAAATACTCTAGCTGCCTTTTGCCAACCAATCTTGTGCTTGTGGAAGACCCATTTGCACTGAAAAAGAGGCATGGACTGGTCACTGACAGGGCCATGGTCTGCACTGGCTCACCCAGGACAAAGCTCAGGTGGGCATAGAAATGGTGCTTGTCGTGGGTGGTGAGGTGTAGGTAGCTTGAAGCCTCAGACTCACTGCTTGGTGGCCTCTATCAGCCACTGCTCATAGCCCTGCAATGCCCAGGCCACCACTGTGCTCTCCACAAAGAGGTTGTGGGGATGATCTACCATGTGTGAGAGTCAGATGTGGCCCAAGAGTTGGCAGGGACCCTCCTGGGCAGTGGGAGCCTTGGTAGGGCCCCAGGTCTGCAGCAGCTGCAGCAGGCAGGCAGGGAAGGTGTCCAAGGAGTGCTGGATCATGTGGGGCTGTGCCCCCTGGCTCTTCCCCCACTCCTCATCCACCAGCTCAGCACAGCCTCCCAGTACCTTCGGCTTCTGGTGCTGGTGCACCAGGCTGAGCTCCTCCGACACAGAGATCATTCTTCTCACTGACAGGAGACCAAGTAGGTCACAGCCTAGAGGCAGTGGGGGACAGACCGTGTATGTCCCCAGCCTGGCACAGCCCCAGCACAGGTGCAGCTCCCCAGCAGTGTGGCCACATGGGTTCATGGGGGTTAGCAGCAGGTCCAGGTCAAACAACAGATCAGTGGCAGAGAAGCAGCACATGGTGCTGGCTCCTGCTGCTCACCCTGCTCACACCCACCCTGCCCACTGCTACCTGCTCCCATGTCCTCCAGGCTCGTGGCTAGACCAGGTTGCTCCAAGTTCCATCTAACTTGGCTTTGAACCCTGCCAGGAATGGGGTGCCCACAACTTCTCTGGGCAGTCTGTGCCAGTGCCTCACCACCCTCTCACACAGTGACCCCAGGGGCTGGACATCCCCTGCTGGGGACCCACACCCCCAAGCAGGGGATGTCCAGCCTGGGGACATCCCTGACTCTTTGGGCCCAGTCCCACAGCCCCTATCACAGCTGGCAGCCCCTGTTGACCCAGATGGATGGCATCACAGTGGCAGTGACAGTGGATGGGTAGCTGCTTGTTCTCCCCCTCAGGGACCCTCAGCCAGCCCCCACTGTAGGGCATGGCCTCTGATCCCATCCCACGTCCTTTGGGGGTCCCAGGGACTTGCTCTTGGCTGTGCCAGGGTGTCTCTCTGTCTGGGACAAGGTGATGCTCTAAAGGACTAAAACCCACTTCTGTGCAGAAGCTTTATGTAGCACAATCAATCTTCTCTTTGGTACTTGGGAAGGCAGGGAAGGACAGCGGGAATGCCTTTCAGCTGGGATAAGGCAAAGCATTGGCCCTGGTTGTTGCCACGCTTTGCTAGAAGGATCTGTCACTGTAGAGAGGGGCACACCAGGTATTCTGTGCAGGAAGAAGTGTCTGCACACTACCCACACATGATGGACTGCCTGCCACCAACCGAAGTATGGTGTGTTCTCTTAGTGAGTAGCTCTTGGTGACTCATGACAAGGTTGCTGTGCTGAAGGTATTTGTTAATTATATGCTGCAAAAAGTGTCCTTCATAGATAGCTCTGAGGTCCAGGTCTCTTCCATGCCAATTTCACCGCCTGGACAGATGTTGGATGGAGGAGTGGCAGGGAGGTGGGGGCAGCCAGAGCAACCTGAATTGACAGTAGATGTCAGGACACTGATCAGTCTTCCTCACACCACTCACTTGTGCAGACAAGGGGGAGCAAGATGGGATATGGGCAGATGTGCACGATGGAAGGCAAACATCAAAGCCATCCCACAGGATGTTTCTCCTGAGCAAAGGACTCTGCTAAGCTCAATTCGGCAGTGTGCAGCACACCTGCTGTTTGCAGCCAAGTCTAAAGGCACCGAGGATACCAGTGCCTTGAAAGATTAAGCTCTTTGATTCTAATCTCTTCAGCTAGAAAGCATGTTGTTTTATCTAATGCTTGTCTCTGTCTGTTTTAGGCTGTGGCGCCTGCTGAGAAAAGGTATGCGTAATGAAATGATTAAATCATGCGTTTTCATATAATCAAAGTCATGCTGTTTCAGCTATGCAGAAATCCTGTTCCTCTTATGAGACATCTAGCCAGATTCAGAATTTCTTTTGGTTTTCATATTTCTTAGAAGGACTGTGAATGGAAAAGAGAATCTGGTTGATGCCAGTTCCACTCTCCTCTATGCCCAGGGCCAGAGATGATGACATTCATATTCTTCTTGTGTCGCTGCAGACAGAAAATAACTTTGCAGTCTGATTTCATGCTCTAAAGAAAATCATTCACACTGTGACAGCACTTCAAAATATTTCAATCCTTATTCTGTATATGCTGCTGGCTACAACTGCAGTGCAGAAAAAAAATGCTTCACTGAATCAGGGGCAAAGTTTCCAAATCACTCTTTTCCATCTTGATTTTGTAACAAATCCCTCATCCCTGCTGTATCTCCAGTTGGAGATGTCACCCCTGTAAGTCTGCACTGCTTCAAGGTTTGGCATCCCTGTCACAGTTAGCTGCTCAACTCTGCTTAAATATTGTGCATGGTAAGGTCAGATGGTGCTATGTAAGCTGCTGCATATCCTGACTGTGGGAAATCTTCCTATGGAAATGTGCCCTGGAGTGGGTAGTGAAGGAAGTGAATCAGAGAGATCCTTATGGTCAGAGTCCAGTGCAACCTACCCAGCCACCAAGGTAAGGTCTCTTAAAAGGATGCTGTCAAGGCTGATGGACCTCAAATGAAAACTGCAGTTTTTTGCGTGATGAGCATGTATGTGTTCCCGTGTTCTGCTGTTTGGGGTCACTTACAGGAGCATGTGAGAAATCAGCTGAAAACAAACAGGAAAGTTGTTATCAAGGAGGACACTGACCTCCCAAGGTCATGGAAGGGACTGAACCCATGGATATTAATAGGCTTGTTTTAATGAAGGAATTGTATTTATAGGGGAGGTGGCACAGTAAATACAGGGCAGCTGCACCATAAGACACTCTTACAGGTTAATTTTTGCAGATCCTAAATACAGCCTCAGGGAAAAGAGCTGTGGGCAAGTACCTCCCTCTCTCAGAGTGCCACATTTAGGAAACTGAGTAACACTGCAATCTCCCTAAGAAGAATGAGATATTTAATTGAAAAGCAAAATATCAGATCAACATTTCAAACAAGGAAATTATATTTTTGAGGGCCAAGCAGAATAGTTTAATTTTGAACAAAAGAAGTTATAAGAGCTCATCTGCTTTACCATAATGGAAACTGTCACCACCAGTCTTATTTTTATTATGGAAGTGTTGATCCAAAAGACTTCAGATCCACATGTTCAACAGTCCATCTGAAAATCGAAACTTCTTAGATGAAATTAGACCTGCAGTTTCAGCCAAACTGCAGAAACTTGTAGTTTCCATACCACAGTGAAAGAGCTAGTGATTATATGTCTGCACTGCTGGGATGCCACCCTTGCTCTGCAGCTCAGATGATGGAGACAACGTGGCAATAAGACAGAAGGAATTACTTCAGCTGAAAGTGTTAATCAGGGACATTGAAAATGGCAAACCTGACTAGCTATATGCAGACAGCAGATGGAGATGGAAGAAAGAAAATAATCAAAATCTGTATTAAGGCAGAGCCTCTTAGGTGACTGCTTTCATTTGCACTCATCCTGTAAGATGAATTTGCTAGTTTTACACTAGATATGGATTTCCTCAGATGACAAAGTTTGAAAAAAAAGGGAAACACTCCCAGCTTAGCAGCAGTGCAGAACAAACCTTGCATTCAATACACAAAAGAGCAATTTCTCTCCAGATGAACAAGGCTGGATGGTCATGCTGGTTGTATTCAGCTTTAAAACACTGCTGCAGAGCAGATCTTGACAATATTCTCTTCTACTCTTTGCGGGGGAACTCTTTGGAACAGGACATGTTGCTATCATGGAAAAACCCACCTTGGCAGAAGAGTTTGACAGCTATTCACAGACCACTCATGTGGAGCTTAAACCTTTTCCAAACTAGGAGCTAATGTCAACAGTGTCCAGATTCAACCTTTTCCATGCAGAGTTCTGCCTCATCTGCTTGGCTGCTTTGTATCCTACTTGAATCTAAAACTTTAACCAGCAGCCAAGAGAAGAACCATGCGGAGTTTAGAGTCTTCAGTGCAATCTGTTGAAAAATGTCTGTTACTAAAAGGTGTAAAGCCTTTAGCAGTCAAGAGTAGAACAACTTTGTGTAAATAACAAATTATACCAGTCCATATTGATTTTTCTTGTCTGAACAGTTCCCAGATCAAATGTGCTCTTTCTACAAGTCAAAGGGTGATATTTCTGACTGCAGTCACTCCAAACCCTGAAGAGCTAAACCTCAAGTTTTTCTGCTCTATCATTTCTGCAAATAAAAACCTTACAGGAAAAACACATTATTATTATTTTGTTACTGACCCATAAAGCTTACTTTTTAAATAAGGAAAAAGCTTCCCAGCCCCATGAACTGGACATGACTATGAAGAGCAATTGCACATGAAAGACAGTTGTGCACAGCTTTTATCCTCCCAAGCATCCCCAGTTCTCTGATGTATCCTGTTCCCTGCTCCCATGGTTTGACTTAGAGGCTCAGCTTCCAGGGGAGAGGAGTGAATGGAGTCTCTACTCTTCTCAGCCAGTTCCCTCTGCTTGAATCAGGCAGTAGCAGACTTGTGCACACAACACTGACAGGAATCTCAGAGCACAGTGGAGCAAGAGATTAAAACACACAAGCTCTTGGGATCAGATGAAATTGGTACCTCCATTCCTTATGCACTGTTGGGCTCAAACAACACTCACTGTTGGGCCCTTCCCCCTCCTTGAAGTCCACCAAGGAAATTCTGCTTCTGCCAAGTGATCAGTGTTGTTGATGACTGAGATCCATTGGCAAAGTTGACAGCAGCAATGCCTTCAGCTCTGTGCAGAGATGCTGGTTGAGAGAAGACCTGGCATGGGCCCCCCACAAATTTGTAGTAGTGTCGCCTCAAGTAACATTGCACAGCCAAGATGATGGATTTTAGGAAATGAATGAATTCAACATTTATTCATGAGTGCACTCTGGGAGGATTCTTAACATCTTTTCCACTAACAACAACAAAATTGGCATTTCAAAAAACAAAAATATATTGAATACCAAAGGGACATCCTATTGAGGGAGAGGAAATCAAGTTGATGTGACTCCAGAAACAAAAATTGAATACTTCAAATATTTCTCTCTGTGCAACAATGCTTTTTATTTTTCCAAACCAAAACAACACTTTGACTGTCTTTTCTTTTTTAAAGTAAGTATTAATTCAATATCTTTGTCATGAAGGTGGAGTGGATGGTGCTGACTTTCATTCTCAGACTGTCTTGAGGAGACAGACTTATCAACGAAGAGGTGATGGTGACCAGACCTGGACTAATACAGCTCTGATAAAGTACAACACATTGTCTGAACTCCTGTCAGAGCCCAGTCCACTTCTATGTCTGACCTTAGCCTCAAGCCACTATACCAAAGTGGTGGCACAGCTCTCTGTGGTCCCCAGGCCTCCATGAAAACAGGGTTGTTGATCAACCTCAGGTGTCCAGGCCCAGAGTATAGTCATATGGAAACCTTTCAATGGGAAAGAAACTCCTTTAGAGTAATTCCTCTGTATGAAGGACTTAACAGCACTGTGGGCTCTTTTTTTGCGTGTGTTTGGCACAAGTTTTA